TCTAGAGTTGGTTACGTTATGAACTCACTTAAGGGTTCGGAGTTTTATATATGCAGCATATACATCCGTAGAAGATTTTGGTATACGTTAAAAGACAGAATTGAGCCTAGGTCATAAACGAAAGATTAAATTGTTAAAGAATTGTATCATGCATATTCCTCAGCGCCCATGAAAGGCTAAACAGAATAAATAATACCATGAACCACATATCGGAAGATAGCTTAAGCTGACCTAAAGGCCAATCAGAAGGAGGAGGAAACTAAAGAGTTACATCACCCAAGTAAATCAGGAGTTTGATTATTGGACCTAGAAAAATAGAAACATCGTGATCGAGAACATTGCAGGATCTCCCTTAAAATTAGAGGTACGAAAGAGATAGTACAACAATCATAGTTTATAACGGCTCTATGAAAGCCAGTTAAAAAAAGGTAACAGCCTCATAAGAAGTCAGTATGAAGCTACCACCGGATTGTAGTATTATAATAGAGCTTCAAGTTGTGGTGTGAATCATACCTATATGGAAGGGAGGTTATGAAAGAGATAGAAGACAAGATGCGAGATTTTAAGTAAGGTAAAGGTGAACAACGTACGAGATACTCAAATGTAGAAAGTTGTGAATAGTCCATACCTCGGATAAAAGGCTAGAAGCGTGGGGATCCAATAACCTGGAATGATAGTGGCATCGTAAGCGGCATGTCTTCTAGCCTATGGTTTCTAAGTACTGAGAAATCTAGTTAAGAGAGTAGAGAAGGGTTAGAGACGATGTGATGTCTCACTTGACATTCCAAAATAATATAAGGAAATCTATGGTGTAAGAAAGTTGAAGGAAAGTTGCGAGTAGTATAAATGGATATGTATAGGTCGCAAGCTAAAGTATGGTAGAGCGACAAAGTTTTAAGAAAACATGAGTAAGTATAAGGAAAGGCAAGTGAAAAGGAGACGAGAATGGATAAGTCCTCGGGATTAAGTCCATAAAAACAAGAGAGATAATGGTTTCTCTAAGTTATTGAAAGTTCAGTATAGCCTGAATGAACTCAAAGGAGTCTAAGATTAATAGCATTTAGAAATAATGAAATGCTGACTTGGTAATAAAATGAGGGTGTAATTGTGACAGATAAAGGATGATGTTTGGGCCTTCATTTGAATAATGATTTGGAAAAAAAAGGAGAAAAGATTTTGCTTGCCAGAATTAGGATACCCCCATAAGGTGAATCATATTGAGACACTATGAAATACGATTATGGAAATCACTTCAAATATTTCTCGATGCAACGGAAGCCCTAGTGGCAAGGTATTACGTAAGAAGTTTCAAGTTATCACTGGTATATTATGAATCAATATTGAGGTGAATCGACAATGGATGGATAAAAGTTACAAAGTACGAGATGAAAATATGTCATTATTCCTAACATGATCAGTACTGAGGAAGCATTAAAGGACTTAGACTTATACATATATGATAAGCAGCGAAAGAGTAACCTGGAGTTTGGTTGTAGATCTCAGTAACTATAAATCGAAGTATGAGTCATGGAATAGTATGACCCGGCTAGATGCAGTAAAGTCAAATGGAAGGATAAACAAATCTATGAAATAAGATATAGCAATATTTGTAAGTTTAACAAAGTATCGAGCAAAGAACTTCAAGTATACCTATAGATGCCCATAGGGACATCTTGTCAAGATCTGTATATATTTACTAAGTGAGCCCTAGAGATTGGCTAAAAGCTAGAGGGAAAAGGAAAGAAGAGTCGCATAAGGCGCACTTACAAAGTCAGAGTCATACAGGCTACATGACAGGAGATAGAAACAGTTACGAGATTGGAAAGATTTCGACCACAAGTCGTGGTATGAGAAATAGGACTAAAGGGGGGAATACCCTAGACTTTGGATTTATTCACAGAACAACTGCCTAAATGGCAAGGAGAGTATTAAGGTATTCACAAGAGCTATAAGTTATGAAAATGATAAGAGCATCAGTCAATATTCGAGGACGAATGTTCCAAATGGGGGGAATGATGTTACACCCTGCAATATTACGATGATGTTATGTGCTGCAGAATTATATTACGATGATATTACACATTGCAGTATTACACTACGATGATGTTACGCTTCGCAATATTAAGTTACGATAATGTTGCACCTTGCAGTATTACCCTATACCCAGATCTGTGTTTTGAGCCTCATATTTTGCAGATCTCGCATTTGTGAGCCTCATATTTGCAAAGAAATCTTCACTTTTGCAAGCCTGGGCATGGCGGGAGGGGGGGTGTCCTCGCATTTGCGAGGTAAAGTTTGCAATTTGCGAACTTGCCATTTTCGCTTTTACGAAGGTAGAGTCTCATTTGTGAAGAAAGGTTCGCATTTGCGCCATTTTATTTCAATTGCAATTACTGAGATTCTGAGAGGAGTTCGCAATTACGACCTCTTTCTCGCAATTGCAACATCTGCATCTGGATAAAAGTTGAGTTAGACGGGATTTTCCCCATTCTTTTACATTTTCAAACCTAGAAACCATAGAGGCGATTTTTCCAGGAACTCTTCTTCCCCAATTCATTGGTAAGTGATTCTAACCTACTTTGTTTCAATTACCCATTGCATTACATAAGATTTCAACCTAAAATCTAGGATTTTCATTGAAGAAATTGGAAATTTGGGTAAAATTAGGGATTTTTGTAAAATTGAAATTTAGACCTCAAATTGAGGTCGGATTTCAAAATAAATTACATATACGGGCTCGGGGTGATTGGGTAATCAGGTTTTGGTCCAAATATCGGGTTTGGACCAAGCGGGCCCCGGAGTTGACTTTTGTTGACTTTTTCAATAATGGCCTAAATTAAACCTTTTTCATTTGTGGGTAGTTCCTAAGGCTTATTTTGAATAATTTGGTTGATAATTTGCTAGATTTGGTTGGTTCAGAGGCTTGTTCGAAAGGCAAAGCCGTGGTTGAGATTTGAGTCGATTTTTAGAGCAAGGTAAGTGTCGTGGTTAACCTTGACTTAAGGAATTAGGACTTGTTTGCCTATTTGCTACATGTTTAAGTGTTGGGTACAACGTATATGTGAGTTGATGAGTACTTATGCATGGTTGTTGGGTTAAAGCATGCGGGTGGGACTTGTTTCTTGTAGTTTACTTCCTTCTTGATCATGATATCCATGTTTAGACTAATTTATCATTAAATTGACTGTTCTGTCCGCATTCATGGGCTATTTGTGATAATTGAGTATTGTTTCTGAAGTTGAGGTTGGTATTGTGGAACTATTATTGACATAAGGTTTGCTCTTGCTTATTCTATCTCCTTATTGTTATATGTTTATTGTTATATGGTAAGGGGGACTGTTAAAGCACGAAGGTGATGTCGTGTGGAGTGTTGTTTCAATTATTGATTAATACATAGTGAGGAAGAGAGTTAAAGCATGAAGGGTGATGTCGTGCCGTATCTATTGTTTCATGATGAAAAAGAGCAAAAGCACGAAGGGTGATGTCATGCCTTATTTATCATTTTATGGAGAGATTGAGAGTAAAAGTATGATTGGTGATGCCGTGCATTATTACTGTTTCATGATGAGGTTGAGAGTAAAAGCACGAAGGGTGATTTCGTGTAGTTTTATTCATTATGATTATCTGTTTTATTGGTTGAAGGTTTATTGACTGTTTCTTGTTATCATTCCATGTTGTAGTCACCGTATCTTTACCCATTTCGCATGTCCCCTCCCAGTAGTAAATGTTTAGCCTTATCTGTTGTTATGTTGATATATATATATATATATATATATATATATATATATATTCGTCTGTACATGTTTAATTACGTGGGAGTTCTGTCATAGCCTCGTCGAGGTTAGGCTTGACACTTACGGAATACATTAGGTCGGTTGTACTCATACTATACTCTGCACTTCTTGTGCAGATTTTTGCACTGGTCCTAGCTGTACGTGAGGTGCATCAACTCGGATTAGCATTTGGAGACTCGAGGTATATCTGCTGGCGTCCGCAGACCTTGAAGTCCCCTTCCTGGTTCCCTATTTATTGTTCCTTTCATTCGAGACAGTTGTACTTATTTCAAACCCTGAGAAACTCTAGAAGCTCGTGTACTTGTGACTTCAGATCCGGGTTGTACTAGATATTGGATTATTACACTTTTTTGTATTTGATTTTGGACTTCATTTCTGTTTAATTGGTTAAATTGTTCGGAGTATTTAAAATTGGTAAAGAATTACTCTAACGTTGACTTGCATAGCAAGTGAAATGTTAGGTGTCATCACAATCCCGAAGGTGGGAATTCCGGGTCGTGACATTTACATCCTCCAATTTTATTTTAAAAATCAACTCCCCCTTAACTTTGGACAATAAACTTCCTCCTTTACTATTCTATACAATGTCTATTTTGCCCTTGCCATTTTTAATTACTTCTTCTATGTAAGCCTTTTTATTATATATAATATTTGTATGGCTTACCTATAATTTTAAATATGTTGCATATTATTATAAAGTATACTTTAAGTTCATTAAAATTATATATAGTGCAATTATTTTCTAAATTTGTTATAAATTTTACTGTTATTTTATGATTATTATTATAATATAATGCACATTAAGTATATATTTATGTTATATTTTTTCAATGGCGGAGTTAGAAATTCATAGAAAAGAATTCAAAAAAAATACCATATCTAAAATTTGAAATAAGGGGGAGAATATCTATGGTTTAAAGTTGGGAGGGAATTTGATTTTAAAATAAAGTTGGGGTGTAAATTGATTTTCACCCCATACAAATACAGGCTTATATTTGATATATTATAGAATTGCTCTTTCAATTGCTAAATTCACTATAAAGTATAAACTATATTTAAACACTTTAATTACTACTAAAACTGTTGGCAAAGAGCTGGTCTTTAACAAAACTCAAAAGTTTCTTCAACAACAAATGTACAGCAAATAGGAAATGAAAGCACAGTCTTGATCTGATCACTCCCATATTTCAGTCAAAGACAACAGGGGAAACCGGAAATGAACCATTAGCATGAACCAGAAGTAGAAAACTTACATTATGGTTCATCACATTTTACAATAACATGATAAAAGAGGATTACATCCACTGATATTATCAACATATCAAGTCGAAATATCGCTAGACCTAGACCACAAAAATAAAACATAAAAAGGATACAAAATGACAGATAAAATAAAACATGAAAAGGATACAAATGACAGATCTAGTAATACTACAAAATACATGGCCAAGCAGGCTTATATCATTATGCTCATAGGGAGACAATCCAAACCGCAGTCAGGTGTCTATTATTTGATTGAGCAAGAGGTGATTTGCTAGTCGCGTTTAATCATAATAAATTTTGATAATTTCATTTTGAAGAGCCATTAGGAAGTTTGGAAGAATCTTTAGAAGCAGGGTTGAGCATATCCCAAGCTTCAATCCAAGTGACCATCGCATCTGCAAGCTTCACAAAATAGGGGTCTACTTTTCCAAGTTTTTCTTTAACCTGTTTGGACAGTTCTACATAGCACTTCTGCACAGAAGTACAATCCTTAGAGAAGGTATGTGATTGGAAAAAGGGAATGATCTCTTCTTGCCAAAAAATTCCAAGGTATTCCTTCTTCAAATTCACAAATGGATTGCTAGCCTTGCTATGATAGATATAGGGTAATCCAGTCTTGATTCCCAATCCCAAGTGATCACAAATTACCTGAAAATGGTTTCATTAGTCAAAAAACTTTCATCCAAAATTACTATGGTTTAAACTATTTTACACCAACTATATATTTTATTTTAAAGTATTATTGGTCGGAGATCAGCGAGCTTAAATGGAGCGATGTAGTTAGTGAGAATTCATATGATTGATCTCAATTTATTTGAATTGAGGCATAATTGTTATGTTATTGTACATGAATTGTTTAAAAGAATTTTACTATCAGTACTATGGTGAGTTACTTGTATTTATGTTCTAGGTGTCCTCAAAATATAATTTTTTTTTACACCTGCCAAGATATAGAAAATTAAATCAATTGTTGCAACATATAAAACAAAAGAACTGAAAATTTTAAGTGGCAAACCTTGCAACACCAACCAGCCCACATATCGTCGTAACGTCCAATGGGTTGGCCATCTCCCATAAGTCCAAAGTACATTGCTGGGCCAATAAGTTCACGATCAAATGCCAGATTCATTCCACACATTGGGAAGAGAGTGCCCTTTGGGATTGTCAACACCATATCAACATACCTTTTCAACCAACATTTGCCACTAGTTAAAAGCTGTGATAAGTTGGATTTAAGTTGTCGTATATCACCCAAAATAATACCATGCATAGACGGTATAAAATGTATTTACCGAATTAGATTTTGATATGTGCATCTTTGATCCCTCTACTTATTGGGAATCTTCACAAATTTAATGAATTATTAACAACTAAACTATCTAAACACTAATGTTTTATGTTGAATTTGTATTGTTACTCCATAGTAAAGGGTAATGTAATTCTATAAATGGTCTAAATATCACATATTTCCTGTAAGAGGAACAAAATATAGACATTTTTGTTAATTAAATATCAATTAATGTGCTTAGCCAAAGATTATAAGGACCTAAAATCAGAATATATATATATATATATATATATAAAATTGAGGGTCATAGACCCGGTGACGTGGCAAGCCTCACTACGCAGAAATTGTCTTTATCTTTTTCCTCAATTTTTCGAGCTTTTCTCCTAAAATAATTCCCCATTTACCTCATTAATAAACTAATAAAGCACTGATTGGTTAACTTGGTCTCCCAAACGTTTCGTCTTCCGTCATTAACAGTCGTAGCCCCTCTGTTTTTTACCAGACCGTTTCTTCTTGGGACTAAATATATTTTCATATTCACATCATATTTGTTTCCTTATGTGATATAGGAAGGTAAAAATTCCTAAAATAAAAAAAACTTTAAAGGTAATCCAGTCACTAAAGTCTTAATTCGGTCATTATTCTTCAGTTACGGATGAATAAAATAATATATTGTAAAGGACCAAAATGGAAACTTCATAATGGCCATATAAATGCATTAACGTATATAACACACAATTGTAGTGACGTGTTATCCTTAATAATTGTATAAAATAGTTCTTTTCAGTACAAATCCTTATCTACAAAATTTTTACAAATAAACTACAAATCAGTTTAAGTATTGTATAAAGTTGTATTATTTTTAAGGGTACCTATAAAATTACTACATTTATACTACAATTAAACTATAATTTATGTTGAAAAACAATATTGAC